TGTATGTATATATATTTATACCATTATATGTATTTACCAACACGGAGACACGAATACCTTCATCAAAGCGAGTGGAGAAAAAAGTATAACATAAAACTTGATTCTATGTTTGCGTACCCGCTGTTTGCATATTGAACGATGTACTTGAATAAATATATAACAACAGCAGTACATGCATAAATAGAATATAATGTATGCAAGTGGTTCAACACTTAGAAGGACGTGATATTAGCTATGGCATAGATATTCAAAGAAGGACACGTCCATCATCTGAGTACAAACTAATCTGCACATACCTAAACACAAAGCCAGATCGTACATCATCTACACGCATGCATACAGTGGATTTTTTATTAGAATGTAAACATTTTTAAACGAATTTATTTGAATACAAATACTCATACGAACATAGAGCTTGCGAGTGAGATCTTTTGCCATTGACTAGACTCACCTGGTCCTGGTTCGTATTTGGGTTTGGCCACAACACCAAATCCCGATTCTAATCGCTGTGACTCGATCCCTACACACACATCCGTAGTTCTCTTTGCATAAGACTGTTCTGTGAACCAATCCATGACCCATTCGTACGCCTCATTTGTGCTACATGCGATATTAGGGAAGTCTTTTCAGATGATATTCGGATAATACACGAAATCATAATATTCTTGTTATACCATATCGGGCAACGATATAAATATCTGAAATCATTAAATTGCAAACTACTCAAAATTTACATCGATACCCACGGGTTACAAGCGTCTCTCACATACCTGTCAAAGTGTGCTGTCACCATGCAGTGTCGGGAGAAAGCCCGCCCGATTGCACCCCATACGTACGCGACAATATCAAACATCGTGTTGGTTGCTAAGGTGATAATAGAGTCCCGCACCACACCCCGAAGAAAGAGCGTCTGTGCCATGATGGACACTCGCGAGCTCAGCTGGCGCGAAATGATATCCGTCGTGCTCTGTGTGATACGACAATCCCAAGGAACGTTTGTTAAGCAACACTCAACCATTAGCACGTTAAAATTAGCCGTCGTACGTGTGTCGCGTTGTTGGGCATGTGTGCGAGATGTGAGTAGCTTGTGCATTATAACATAGAAAAGAGTCTTCAATTATGTCCACGCTGAGCTGCTTCTTATTTAGAAGTGTATGCATGATGCTCTCTGTATTAAACATTCAATTCAACGTCCATTATCTTGCGGTAAAAGAATAACAGGTGTCCGTATGGCAGTGCACATTCAATTCCAACTCTCCTCTCGCATCAGCAAGAACTAGCACGATTATATTTATAGAAATCAAGTATATTTCGAATAAAGTTTAGGGTACGAATATGGCAGACAATCGGATATATGGGGTAAGTAAATGCACGCTCCTGGACAGAATACATACGAATGAGTAAAAGCAGAAAAGAGTTAATACTGTTATAGGACGGTTTTGACTCGTTTCGAATCTGTAGAATGTATAACAATGTGGATTGTAGATTCCTGTAAACACAGGTCTCACCTGAGAAAAATATGGATGCAATCCATGCATTGATTCCTTAATACGGCCATAATAATTGTGGAACCGGCCGAAGCCAGGGCTGACTGGGATAGTTTTGCAAATGGAAATATAAACCAAACATTGAAATTTTAATTCAACATAGTAATAAAATAAAAACCTATGTGACAAATACTTGTATATATATTATCATATACACGTATATAAACGTGTCAAAGAATACATATGAAAGTATCAGCCTATTTATAATCAACAGATATATATATATATATAT